CCGTGTATTCCTCTCCACTCATTTTCACTGACTTGTCTTCCAGCACCTCTCTTCCGCATGCTTCCAGTACAGCTCCTTCACATGCTGCCAGCACCACTCCTACACTTTCCAGCGTTTCTGCTCCAGCCTCTTTGTCCCTTCCAGGCCCTCCTACGACTCCAACACATTCTCAATGCCCCACCACTCCCACTGTCGAGCCCACTCTTTCTACTGTTGCTCTTCCACTCTTACGTACCTATCAAAGAGACTCAACCCGTAGCGTTCTTCGGTTTCCTTCTCCTCCTCCAGCTATCACTCATGTCCCTACTCCTTCCCAACCGACATATCCAGTTGCTCCACCACAAAATACTCATTCAATGACCACTCGGAGTAAGGCGGGCATTCGTAAGCCGAATCCCAAACTGATTTTACATGTTGTTCATGCTACTGATATTGTTGAACCGAGTTCTTTTTCTCAGGCTAACAAGCAAGCTGAATGACGGCATGCCATGAGTGAGGAGTTCAATGCCCTTCAGAAGGCTGGGACATGGGCTCTTGTTCCCCCTTCTCCCTCTATGAATATTCTTCCGAACAAATGGGTCTTTCGCATTAAACGGCGTTCTGATGGGTCTATTGAGCGGTTCAAGGCTCGCTTAGTGGCCAATGGTTTTCATCAACAAGAGGGACTTGACTATGGGGAGACCTTTAGTCATGTTGTCAAACATACCACCATTCGTCTTATTTTTTCTCTTGCTGTCAGCCTCGCTTGGCCTATTCGGCAACTGGATGTTCAGAATGCTTTTTTGCATGGGTATCTTTCTGAAGATGTGTACATGAAGCAACCTAGAGGTTTTGTTGATCCCCACCTTCCTAATTATGTGTGTAAATTGCGGCGCTCCCTTTATGGCCTTAAGCAGGCACCTCGGGCATGGTTTTCTTGTTTTTCATCGTACCTGGAGGAGCTTGGATTTATCGCTTCTGCTGCTGACACATCTCTTTTTGTCCTACATCATGGCCATACAGTTATTTATTTGTTGATTTACGTTGATGACATCCTGGTTACTGGCAATAATTCCTCATCTATCGCCAAGCTTCTCTCTGATCTTGGCCGTCTTTTTTCAATGAAGGACTTGGGTCCTTTGAATTATTTTTTGGGCATTGAGGCAATGCGTTCTGCAGATGGGCTCTTTCTTTCTCAATCCAAGTATACTTTGGATTTACTGAAGCGCACTGATATGCTTCACTCCAAGCCCATGCCTACTCCTGTTATCAGTGGTCGCCGCTTGAGTTTAACTGATGGAGATCCGTTACCTGATCCATCTCAATATCGAAGTATTGTTGGTGCCCTTCAATACCTCACTATTACTCGTCCTGACATCTCTTTTGCTGTTAATCAAGTTTGCCAATTTCTCCATAGCCCTACAACTGTTCATTTGGTGGCTGTCAAGCGCATACTCCGTTATTTAAAGCTCACCTATACTCATGGCCTTTTTTATCGCCCTGGTCCTTTAAAGCTTCAAGCTTTTTGTGATGCTGATTATGCGGGTGACCCTGATACACGCATCTCTACAGGTGGTTATTGCATTTATCTGGGCACTAATCTTATTGCTTGGAGTTCTAAGAAGCAACGAGGTGTTTCCCGATCAAGCACTGAGGCCGAGTACCGTCAACTCGCTTACACTGCTGCTGCTATTTCGTGGCTTCGTTCTTTGTTTCGTGACCTTCGTCTCCCTATTTCCCGTCCGCTGATCTGGTGTGACAATATGAGTGCCCTCTCCATGGCTGCCAATCCTGTTTTTCATACTCGTACCCGCCATGTTGAGGTCGATTATCACTATATTCGAGAAAAGGTCACTCGACAAGAGCTTGATGTGCGTTATGTCTGCTCCTCTGATCAGCTTGCTGACTTGTTTACTAAGGGTCTGTCTGCTGCTCGTTTTTCTTTTCTCATTTCCAAGCTTCCGGTTCAGTCCCCACCGTTCAGCTTGCGGGGGCGTAATAGAGGAGAATCTACACTATTACCTGTATATCAGGAAAGCAACCCTTGATTACTGTATACATGTTTTCTTTTTGTAATTCCAATGTCTTTACTCTCTCCTGATTTCCCGTAATTGTTTTGTAACTCCAAGGCCTTTATTGTTTCCTGTAACTATGTTCACGTGCTGTGCTGCAAGCCATATTGGCTGTCTCTCTCTTGTATATATATAGTCCCTAAATCAATGAAAGAATTATCTTTTCCTCTCTGTAAATCTTTCATCTATGACTAGTTTATTTTAGTTTTAGTTCAGATTGGATTCTGTTTTACTCAATGCAAATAATTCATTGCCTTTAATTACAAGTCATTGTTTCATTCTTTTAGGTTCTCATAGTTGAGCTTCATTTTTGCATTTGTCAGCCTGGCATCTCGAGTACAGAAAACATTGCAAGGTTCATCTGACGATATTGGATGGTTGCCACACACTCCTGGCATGCCTGGTGTGGAGGATGGTACAGCGAGATTCTTGGAATTGCTTGCAGGAATAAGGTACCAAGCTAATAGAATAGCTCCACTGCACTGGATGGTTGGACCTGTTAAGGAACTGTGTTCAATTTTGTTATCATATCTGTTTAGTCTATTCTTGTAAATTCCTATTGCTTGTATGTCATGCTATATACTTCAGGAATGGGGAGCACACATTGCCTAGGTCATTTTTCTATCTGCTTATTCCGGGTAAAGAGAATTTATTTTTCCCTTTGGACTTTGTTCTTCTCCCCTGTTCAATCCACATTTAGCATTGTGGCGCCTATAGTTATGGGAACTTTGATTTTCCAGGCCTCTTTAGCAATCACAGCCCCTTATACTTTGTTGGAACAAAGAAATTCTTTTCGAAGATGGGTCTAGCTTGCCATATTGCAAAAATTCAGAGTGAGGTAATGAGTCATTACTCTGTGATCATTGCTGACTGAGTTTTGTGAAATTTGTATTCCCCTTTCATATGTTTTCTTGGATGAAGGCATCTGTTGAGCACAATGCATTGGAACTCAAGCAATACATCGAGGAGCTTTACTGGGGATCCAGTAAGCGTGTGATGCTGCTGGGGCACAGGAAGGGCGGCTTTGATGCTGCAGCTGCATTGTCAATCTACTGGTGTGATTTGAAAGACAAAGTTGCTGGTTTAGCACTGGTTCAGAGCCCCTATGGTGGCACTCCCTTGGCTTCTGATATTCTTCGCGAAGGCCAGATTGCGGACAAAGAAACCCACAGGATCATGGAACTTTTAATATGCAAGCTAATTAAGGTAATAGCACCAATGCCTGAGCTTGTTGAAAGTCCTTTGTGCATGCACTAAACAAGTGGAGAATTGTAAGTTGTGTTTGGAAACATCTCAATTCATATTTGCATTGTAGGAAACATCTCAATTCAAAAGAAAATGTGATGATGACCTACTATCCTAATAAATTTCATGGTTGAAGGAAAGGTTGAGAAAAAGGGAAAGGTTTAAGAAATTTCGCAACGTGTACATAATGAAATGATGAAGCACTTCCTTGGGAACTTTTGGTTTCCATTTATATATATATCATTTTCATTTCCTCTATATCTACAACCCCAAGCCCATCTATGAATTTTACTCCTTAGAACCCTACAGACTACAGTACTGCCCTCAACTTTTAGCCTTGATTCCTTTGTTCATTTTTTTTTTTAATTCCGTGTTCTTTAACTCACTCTATGTGTTTGAGCGAAGAAGATGTCTCCTCATCAGTGCTGATGCTGAAACGCCAGAAGCGGAAATGGCGGTTGGCTCTGACAGCTATATACTGTACCAGGGCTCTTGCTTCACTGTATAAGGAAGTAGTACACGACAAAAATGCCCCATTACTGCGTTCCCGCTCTTACAAAGCCATTGACATGGAACCCAACAAAGAAGAAGACGAGAAGAAATTGCTTGCTATTGATCAGAAAATGCTTGCTAATACTATTGATAGTGTGAAGGAAAAGATCCCTGACCGTTTCATGAGTCAAATTGGACGTTTTAAAGAATTGGCTGCAGCAAAAGGGTTTCTGAGTTTTGTATTTGAAGCATTCAAGGATGCCGCAATATTGATATTTCTGGTATGCGGACTACTCACTCTATTGTTTGGTATCAAATTGCATGGCTTGAAAGATGGGTGGGTGGTACGCCGGTGGCTGTATCATTTTCGCTAGCCTTTTTGTTGTTATCATCTCTGCTGTTTCCAACTTTAAGCTTTCCCCAAGGGCAAGTCGCTGTGGTTTCGATGATAATCTGACAACTGTACAAACACGCCTGAACAAGCTGACTTCTTGTATTGGGAAGGTTGGTTTGGCAGTGGATCTACTTGTTCTAGCGGTTTATGTGATTCATTATTTCACAGGAAACAGCAGGGACAATTATGGCGACGTGATGAATAATGTTGTGGCTATTGTAGCTGCGGTGATCACAACTGTTGTGGTGGCAATTCCTGAAGGTATGCCTCTGGCTGTTACTTTGACTACCCTAGCTAATTATTCAATGCATAAAACCATGATGAATGATAATGTTTTGGTGCGGAAACTATCTGCTTGTGAGACAATGGGGTTAGCCACCACAATCTGCACAGACAGACAAGGCACTCTTACTTTGAATGAGATGAAGATTATTGAGTACTGGCTTGGTAATGAAGCAATCACACAAGAGACAAATCTCTCAGAGATAGCACCGACCATTCTCCAATTACTCCAACAAGCTGTTGGTTTAAGCACAATGGGCAGTCCAACTGATCAGAAAGCAATTCTTAGGTAGATGCATATAAATACAAGTGCCCCTGCTCAACCAATCATGCCAACCCACACAAAAGAATTCCCCCCATCTAGAATGAGTGTATGAAGGGATCGGATTGAGAATATATGCTCTTGTATATTTTTAATATTCGACAACTCCAATTGGAGACCAAAGATGTGTGTTCTATAATGTGCAGTCATTATAGTTTATAGAAAGGGCATAAAATATGCGTACTCAATTTGAGCTTGTTTGCACAAGCCATCGAGTAAACATAGATATATCAAAGTCTAATAGTTGATATCAATAAAAACACTAGATATATTACTAAGATAAGCAGTTGAGCTTAATACTAGAGGCATACATATTCTATGGTAGAAGGCATTTTTTGTTTAAGGTATTGGGTAGCATGATCTCTTGCATTCTCTTCCTCATTAACTGCTAGGACATTGCACTCGTATCCAGTAGGCGCACACCAAAACCGGACAAGATTTATAACTATCTTCTCCAATGCAAGAGCATTCTTTTTCAAGTACATGACATGTTTAACACAACATTTGTGACCACGATACCCTGATATTTCTACTTCCTTGAGGTAGTAATGGGCGCATTTGGCAGCTTTCTCTATTTTTGCTGACTCCACACTGGATATTCCGAAACCCAACTGCACCACACCAAGGAAAACAACACTTTAGTTTACTTCACAAGAACTAGAAGCAAAACCTTCCTTCTTGTCTTCCGTTTTATGCTTCTTTCTTCAAAAATATTGGCAGTTATAAAAATGAAGATAAATGAACGAAACCACTCAAGATATGAATGCAGAATATACAATTGTCTATCAAGTTGTACTTGTAATCAATCAATCTATGAATAACAAATGCATTAATTATGTATGCATACCCCCAAAACAAGTCTCTGCATGTAAGGGGCTGCCTTCATAAAAGAAGCTAAGCGAGCAAGGGACCAACAGTTGTCTGCATCAACTAATAATTGCAAATGCTTTAGATTTGCTAGTATGGGAAGTACATGATTTTGATTGTAGACCTGAAATCCACCAAACCAAATGACAAGTAAGGAACAGAATAAATTACAAAAAGCAAGAAAAGAAAACTGACTCTTCACATATAATACTACGTACTAACCGCTCCTCTGATATCTAGCTTCAGAATCTCTATATGAGAAAGACAGGGTGAAAGTTGGTTGAACACAAGCCTTGTGAATTCAGCATAAATGTTCCACTTGTAATAGGTTACATCAACAAGCAGTGGTACATTCTTGAGATGCAAAGATATCAACCCTCCACAATAAATAAATGAAACAATGTTTGCATCACATATCTCAATGTTTCTGAGTCGTTGACAATATTTTATCTCCAAATATTTCAATGCAATAGAGGGACCGACAACTCTTAAATTAACTAAATCTTTGGCAAAAGTTAGAGACAATCGCTCAAGAAGTGGACAGTTGGACAAGAAGAACTCAACAAGCTCCCCGGTCACACCAACATGTTGAAAACGAATAACTTTGAGGGACTTGAAACCAATATTATTGTAATATCCACCGGAGCTTAGACTTGGAATGACAGAAAACTGGTGAGTCGAAGCAGATCCCTTTTCCAGACCCAATAGTTTGTAGGGAAATGTATAGTCATCGTCGTTGAAACCCCCCCAAGCTGTCAATAAGTCCAACTCAAGTACTTGAACTCTCTTTTCCATTGCAAATTGAACCCATTTATCAATGGAACTTGTAAAGTCGTTATCTAGAAAAAAGATAACCCGGAATCGTTCAATGCTTTGGCCTCTATGCTGCTCCAACACGTGATTCACCCAATTGACGTATTCATGGCCTTTTTGTTCTCGTATATCATCGTCAAGTTGATAGAAGTAGCTTAAGGTCTTACGGTCTTCAAAATTAACAGCCTCTAAATTGAGAGTCATAGTAGATGACCAGAAATACCGCCATCTCCTAGAAAGGAGACTGGTAGCTGCTGCTTCCTTTAGCGGCAAAAGTGACACTATGCTAACAATAACCTGATCGGGCAACTTACTGATACGATCCTCCACCACCATGTGCTCATCATCCTTAAGTATTTTCCTTCTTTTCCCCGATTCCTCCAACTTGTACTCCTCATCCTTATAATTATGGAGATATCATAAACATGATTAAAAATAATAATAATAAAGTAAAGCACTAGGGTTATTTGATTTCATCGTTCAATCAAATTTATTTAAATTATAATTTATTTTCAAATAATCAAATAATAGCGGCCGGTTTTTTCAAATAAAACGCCCCAAAAACACATAAAGAGATGCAAAATTTTGAACAAGGTGTATATATGGGAAACAAAACAATTTTAAAAAGGTGCAGGTTTGATGCATGCTAGTGTTATTGTAGAAACCAGTTTTTAGTGTTTACCTTGGGTTGGACAAATTGAGAGGTTGGGCTCATTCCTTTTTCCATTAGTCTTGGTAGTTTGCGACGAGTCACAGCAGTGCTTCGCGTGATGAGTTTGTTTTAGGGTTTTGGTCAAAGGAAAGAGGGAGAGAGAAACGCAATTGCAGATTTCCTGTGCTTCAAATTTAAATAATAATTACAGTGCATGGTGCATTTTATAGAGAGAGAGAGAGAGAGAGGGAGGGTAGTTTAAACCATACAAAACTCTATTTCATCGGTGTCACTAGCCTCTTGGGACACGCCTGGTTGGTTTTTTTAATTTTTTATATATTAGTAATTCAATTTAAAATTAAGAAAGAGCAAATGGAGTTGGCTCAAAGACTTGACCAAAAAAAAAGAAAAAAAAAGAAGAAGACAAAAACAGCCCTAAAAAAAACAATATAGCTTATGAGAAATTCATGGATTTGATTCCTTCTTTTCTTTTTTATTTATTGTAAAAGTTGATCCAGTTTGCTGAAAATAAAAAAGTAGAAATACGGTATGAGCAAAAAACATAGAAATAAGAATTGATTTTTGTTATTATTAGTACTAGCCTCTCCGTACGCGCTTTCGCGCATGCCAGAGGCTTTTTTAAAAAAAATTAAAAAAGATAATGGGTAGTTGTTTTCCATAAAAATAGGCAATTATCTGATTTTTCTTTTAATTTTAATTTTTTTAAATATGAAAAAGTGTGAATTTACCATATTATCCTTATTTAATTAATAATTTCAATTCTTAATGTTTGCATTAACCAAGAGCATTTTCTGGTATTTTGAATGTTTCACCATTCTCTGCCTTTTGCTTTATATATATATATTTTTACTATGAGAAATTTGCATAAATATCATTTGAAATTTCATGTATGTGCGTTATTACCACCTAAATTTTTAGTTTTTTATTTTTAACCACCTGAATTTTATAAAGTGTTGCAATTCACCATATAAATCTAACTCCGTTAAAGTTTCCGTTAAATTTAAGGGTATTTTCATCAATTAACTAAAACTAAAAATAATTATAAAAAATACAAAAAAATTAAGCTAACCTCCATATCTCTCTCTCCTCTCTACTCTATTGTCTTTATTCCACCAAATATCATATCCAGGGCTCTCGACCTCCATCCATGTGAAAGGTTACAACTTCCCTCCTCTTCATTTCTCTTTCTAACTGTGCATATGAGGATTTAGATGATTCAAAAGGCTAAGGGTATTTCAACTTAGTATTTTTGTCTAGGGTTTCTAAAAAATCGATTTCTTTGCCCTAATTGGATTTAGAGTTAAATTATTTGGGTATTGAATTGTAAGCCATAATTATATTTGTTGTAAATACTTTGGATTTGTAAAGAAATTTGTGTAAAGTTTCTGAAACTGTATTTTAGGTTTTTTCTTTGAAGGAAGGAGTTTTTCCATTTCTGGGTTTTTTTATCTTCTTTCATATTTTTATTCTTTCGAATTTGCCTATGAAGGCCCATGTTCTTGGTTTTATCTTGGTTACTATGAACCATGGGTGTTTCGCTTAAGCATAGATTCTCACCCCTCTTCTAATTATATTTTTTGTTAATATTTTGGATTTATAAAGAAAAAAAGGGAAAAATTAAATTGAAATGCTACATAGGCCTACATGGAGTGGCTGATATTTTATGTTATCTGGCCTCTACCTATTGAAGGATCATGAGGGGTAGTATTGTGAGTTTTCTTTCTGGCATAGTTCATTTTCTAATAGCTAATCATAACTTTGAACCTTTGGAAGTTAATTTATTGCAATGAAAAACAGAAGTTGATCAGTTTCGGGTTTTTTAAAGAGGTTCTTCTTAATTGGCCTTTTAATTTGGCAAGTGGATTTGAAACAGAAGAGGAGGATGCTCTGAAGTTATGGGGCAAGTCTGCCACATAAAATTCCCTGTATGTTAAGTTAGTTATTGACATTACTATATTTAAGATTTGCTTATTGTTTTGGATCATATTTCCCTTGTGACTCCTACATATGTCTATATATATTGTTGTAGTTGAGGAAATACAAGACTCGAAGAAGATGAAGTGCAAGAGCAAAGAAGACTATTTAGAAGGTAATGTTGTTATGTTTAGTTCTAGGGTTTGCAAAAATTCTGTAATCTCTATTATTAATCAAAGGAGCGGTGATTTCTCTATCTAGAGAAATCACAACTAGACGTAGGCAAAAGTTCAGCCGAACCAGTATAATTCTTGTGTGTTTCTAAGTTTTCTAATATTTGCTAGTTTAGTCTATTGCCGTTGGTTACATTAAAGAACAAGGTCTAGTGTGCGGGTTATTTAACAATTGGTATCAGAGCCAGGTTAAAGGGGTTCTATGATGTCTAAAGGGAAGATGAATGCAGATCTAGGACCTGCGTTAAAGCCCTTTGACGACAATGATGAATTCATGGACTGGCAAAGGATGATGAAGAACGTACTGTTACAACAAGATTTGGATGATGTAGCTGTTCGGTTCATTTTTACACATGATTTTTCATGTTATTCACCTATTATTTTGAGTTAGTTCTTGACATTTTATAGCTTTTTACTTCCTTTTTGTGTTTTCTTAGATTTTACCTTGGTTGGAATGAAAATGAGCTAAAAGTGCATTATTGGTTATAAACTTTGTTTTTGTTCATTTTCGTAGGTCAACTTCTTGGCCTGGGATCAACATGCTCTGGTGCTCGAATGAGGTCATGATCTTCATGAGACTTGTTCCAATGGATGTTAACTACAACATATCCAAATTTGAGCTCCATTGGACAAGTATTGCCTATCCAACCAATCCAGCATGTTACCACAGCTCTGGAAATCCGGAATTGGCCAGCTTTTACCTCCATTGTGTCATCTTGATTATTCTTGTTACCATAACACTTGGTAACAAGAATTTACCTTAGTAGATAAGATATTTTCTGAAGCAATTGGCATCTTTGTGAAGTCAAGGCTTCATCATGGCAAGGGGACAATGGGCAAAGGCTTTAGAGAAAAGAATGAGTTTTATACTAAAAGTAAAGCTGGAAAGGAGGAGAGAGGGAAGCAAAGGGAGTGCAATCTGAAGTGGGAGAGGTCTTGAACGTGGGAAAGGAAGTCATTTACATCATTCTACACAATTGAGAGCAGATTTTGGAGAGCTTGGAGCTAGGAGAAAGCCAAGGTGCAGCCAAGCAAAGGGGAGAAGAAAGCTTCCACCATTGATGACCTTGAAGCTTTCACAATTTTCTCAAAATCTGTAAACTCTTTCTAATTTTATTTTGAGTTTGTATTTGGAATAAGTATGAGCAACTAAACTCCATAGCTAGGGCTTAGGTTGAAGCCCTAAACATGAATACCTTATTGTTTTGATGCTTGAGTGTATGAATTTCTAGATATTGTTGATGAATTCCAATTCACCAAATTAATCTATCCTTCATGTGTGTTTTCCTTGATTGATTACCTTTGAAAGCATGCTTCTTGAGGTTGTTGGGATTATGTGTATCTTCATGTTTTCCTAAGCAACAGATGGATGGAGTAAGAACCATCCATGTGAATTGGTTTCTTGAATACCTAATGTAAACACCATGCTATTAGAGTTCTTGTGATGTTCATATTCTCTTTGAACTTAATAGGTTCTCCTTGTAATTGAATCGAAGTACGAACCACACCTAGGTTCGGTTATGAGGAGGGCACGAGTATTCCATGCACTTTACGTATATTAGAGAGGATCAATGCGTCTTGAGCCACGACCCATGGTTTTGATTGCGAACATTTTCATCAAAAAGTTTAGAGTTCATCACTTGAGTATCCATGAACATGGGTAGAATTGTTTAGGATGGATTCCGAAACCCTAGTGTTTGTTACATTTTAATTTCACACTTTGATAATTCATCTCTGCCATTCACATTTAAATTCAAAGTCCATTTACTTTCATGCAATAGAAATAGATCACTTGAAACAAATCAAAACCCCCCCCCAATGTGTGTGTGAGTTGTGTGTGTGAGTTGCGTGTTTGACACGTTACGTGTCTTTTTTATCTGTTTCCGTAATTGTTTTGGACTTTTGGTCCGCGTTGTGTTCTTCCATTTTCTGTGCTGAATCCAACCGTATAAAGAACGTGAATTTTGGACGTACGGTTGGAAAGTTATAGGCAAAACACTGGACAGAGGTCGAAACTGGAAAAACAGAGAAAACGACTCTGCCCAAGAACGACCGGTCGCTAGTGTCTCACGACCGGTCGCTCAGCACACAATTCTGAAGTTTCGACTCTGACCAAAAACGACCGGTCGCTTTTACCTCCCGACCGGTCGCCAGACCCAAAACGACCGGTCGCTCTTGCCTCACGACCGGTCGCTGGTTACTGTTCACAGCACATTTCCTTTTTTTTGTTGTTTTGTTTGTTTCTTTTACATTTCTTTACTTTCTTTTTAGTTTCAAATTTGCATTTGTGCATTGTGGTGTGTTAGTTAAGTGTTCTCTTTGTACTCGAATTAGAACTTTTAGGCAAACCGACAAGTTCTTCATGGGATCGACCCCGTACTTACATAATCTATGCTTCGATAGATTCGTGCACTTGCGGGTATTTTTAATTGGTTGTTTGCACATTAAATTGTGTCCTTTTAGGAATGCAACAGTAGCCAACGGTGAGAAGCTGGCAAGCATGACAGACGCAGCATGGACTAAGGTTCTCAAGAAAGCCAAGAGTTCCATCGAGATCCATCTCACAAGATCACTTCGGTCACTCATCACCGAAAAGATGATTGCCCATGAAGCATAGGAAAAGTTGGAGAATGTTTATATGGGCAAAACCGTGTCCAATAAACTTTTTCTAAAGGATGAATTATTCGGACTTCGACTGGAAGAAGGAGGTGATATTGAAGATCACGTATGCAGGTTCTAGAATTGCATAACTAATCTTCAAAAGGTCGAAGAAACTTACAAAGATGATGATATGGCTAGCATCTTGCTGAGGTCTCTACCTTCGTCTTTCAAGCACTTTCGAACAACTCTAATGTTTGGAAAAGAGTCCCTGAAGCTTGAAGACGTAATTCAAGCTCTTCAGTCATATGCTAAACTAGATGATATAACTGAAAGCTCTCAAGGCCTTTATGCCAAAAGCAAGGAGAGGGGACGGGAAAAGACAAAGGAAGATAAAACAAGCAACAAAGGTAGGTCAAAATCCAAGAAGAAAAAGGAAAAGAAGGAAGGTTGCTTCGAATGTGGTTCTGCCGATCATTAGAAGAGGAACTGCAAGATTTGGAAAGAGAAGAAAGCCAAGATGGAAGGAAGCTCAGGATCAGCTAGTGCAGTCACCGAGCATGAGAGTGACGAGGAGCTTCTTTCAGTAACATCAGGCTCCAAGGCTTTCACAAAATGAATTTTGGATACCGGATGCACTTTTCATATATGTGCAGTAAGAGAATGGTTAGATACTTACAAAGAAGTCAACAACGGGGAAGTTTTAATGGGGGACGATTCTTCATGTCCTGTAAAAGGAATCGACACTGTTCGAATTAGAATGTTTGATGGGACGATACGAGTGTTCGGTTCATTTTTACACATGATTTTTCATGTTATTCACCTCTTATTTTGAGTTAGTTCTTGACTTTTTATAGCTTTTTACTTTTTTTGTGTGTTTTAATAGGTTTTACCTTGGTTATAATGAAAATGAGCTAAAAGTGCATTATTAGTGATAAATTCTGTTTTGTTCATTTTCGTAGGTCAACTTCTTGGCCTCGGATCAGCATGCTCCGGTGCTCGGATGAGGTGAAGATCTTCATGAAACTTGTTCCAATGGATGTTGACTACAACATATCCAAATTTGAGCTCCATTGGATAAGTATTGCCTATCCAACCAATCCAGCATGTTACCACAGCTCTACTTGGCCAGTTTTCACCT